GCAGAGGGTAGATTTAGGTTAGACATCAGAAGGCGCTATTTCATGGTCAGGGCGGCTAGGGTCTGGAACCAACTTCCAAGGGAGGTGGTGCAGGCTCCTACCCTGGGGGGTTTTAAGAAGAGGTTAGATGAACACCTTGCTGGGGTTGTTTGACCCCAGTACTCTTTCCTGCCATGGCAGGGGGTCGGACTAGATGATCTTCTCAGGTCCCTTCCAACCCTAGAAACTATGAAACTATGAAAATAGTTTTAACTTGCACATTCCAGTTCTATTTAGAACATGGTACTTTATATAATCTTTGGGATTATTGTGTCTAAATAAGAACACTCGAGGCTTTTAGTAATAAGTCATTATCGCAACTTGCAGTGCAAATCCATACACGCATCAAACACTTTTGCTGATTGCTTTATATAATGTATTATCTGAAAAAGAGTACAAAGTAAATGGCCGAGCACCTAACAGCTTCATAACAAAAAATTGCTGTAGGCAAATTAGAAACAGAAGAAGAAAAAGACGTGGATTCATTGGTTAGTTACAAGATGACTATTAGCCATAAGTAGTCTAGCTATGGAAAAGGTAAATGCAGTCCTACAATATGAAGCAAACAGTAAGGACAGAAGTAATGTTGTTCTAGAAAGCACGGGTCAAATTCCTGTGTTATGTACAATTCTGTTTTTCCGTGCTCAAAATAAAAGAATTAAATAAGAACAGGTGCAGAGAAGGGATGATGCTACTAGGACAAGGTGGGGAATGGAGAACCTACCAGATAAAAGTTGCTTAAGAGAGCTTGCCACCTTTAACCTAAGAAGATAAAGGCTGAGAGAGCTTGCAGTAAATTTCTGGATGAATATCATGCAAGGAAAAGAACTGTTTAAGCTAAGCAATATTCGCACAAGAGCAAGTGGTCTAAATATGCAGCAATAATCAACTATCCTGGAGATTAGAAGAAGGTTTCTAACAATCAGAGCATTGAGGTTTTGGAACAGGCTTCCAAGAGGAGTAGTGGGGGCAAAATTCTGAACTAACGTTAATGCTGGGCTTGATCACCTTACAAAAGGAGTTATACGACATGGTTGCTGGCAATAGCAAAGGAGAGAGCCACTTCCCACCCACCTCCACGTAGATTCCTATGAAAAAGGGTATATTTAATAAGTGCTGAGCCATCCTTTCTAGCTAAAATGAAATGGAGCAGTCAGCAGACATGCTGGTATTAAATGTTTTTTACAATATAAAAATATTTTTTTTATTCTTACTTTATTATGCAGTTATTTAAATTCCCGTCCCTACAAGAAAGGATGCACAGAGAAGACATTATTTCGGGATTAGACAAAATAACATCAGCGTTGGTGAGGCATTTTACTGTTCATTGTTTGTTGTCCTATATGGTATTTTATTGTTTGTTTTAAGCCAGCCTCACATCTGAGGTTGTAGATGCCATCACTTCACTGCTGTTTGCCATATGTGTGTATTCAAAGGCTTGCTGGTGGAATCCATCACTGGCCTAACCTTTTTATTGGTGTCATGCTATGGCTCCAGGGGGACAAATTCAAGTTGTGCTCCATACTTGTGCCAAAGGCTGCCCACAGTCAACCCAGCTGTAAATGGGCACCTGGTCATTCAGGCTGGGTAGTTGAAGGCAGCTGAATTCAGTGCTGGCCACATTGTTCCCTTGTGTGCCATTGACTACAGAAATCAAGGTGCTGCGACTACCTGAGCCCTGCAAGCTGCCAGGCTCAGAAGGACCTCTGACCTTGACTTCTGGGACTGTTTAGGGAATGTGTGTACATTGAACCTTTGCTTGTCTGTAGCATCATTCCAAAAAAAGCAAATAGTGTGTGCTCCTCCAGCAGGGATCCTAGCCCTTTGGGTAATATTTAATAACTAGTACCTGAGCCACAGTTCTGGAGACTAAACCCACAATCCATTTTTGCTTCTCTTTGTGCCTTCATCCTTTGTTACAGATGCTTCCTGCTGAGTTTCTCTCTTCCGTAGCAGATGAGTATTTAGGAGACACAAATGACCCTGAGGAGCTGAGAGCCCAGTTTCAAGAAATGTTGGGAGACTTCTTCTTCATTTTTCCAGCTGTTCAAGTAGCTAGATACCACAGAGGTAAATTTTTCCAGCTAACATTCCAGAGTGACACATGCCCTGACTCAGTTAAGAGCAAATAATTAGAGGACTAAATCGGGGACTAGCATTGAGGCAAAGTACTTGTGGATTTTTGGACTTGGGCATGGACTTGAACCTAGTAGTGCTCCTGAGGATTTTCTGGCACTGCAGTGCCCCCTTCCCTGCTGTTTTCTATTTTGTACTTGACCTAAAATCCTTTGAAGCCTATGGAACAATTCCTATTAATCTGAACAGACTTTGGATCATGACTAACTTCCTTTTTTGGAGGTAATTTTGCTTGAGCTTTTTTCCCCACTTAGATTGTTGGGGGGGAGTTTCTGAAGAGTAAATTTTGTTGCGTCATTCCTTTTAGTCTTCTTGGTTTAGTATAGCAGCTGTTATCCCTCCTGCCCTTTCCAGCTGAGGTGACTAGTGCTAGAGAGCAGACAGAGCTGTGTTTCATGAGGCAGAAGTGATATTTGTGAAATCATGCAGGCAGCTTTTTACAGACTTTTTACTGAGACTTGATTTTTATCTAAAGGTGAATGGACATTTCTCTAATTACGCCCTACAGATCATTGTTGGGTCAGCATGCCACAACACAATATCTGATCCCCTTGTGGCAGTTTCATTGCTGAGGGTGGGTATGTGGTCTTGTTGATTTGGTTGGGAACATGGGCTGTTAATTTAGCAAGACATTTGTCAAAGATAATTCAGGCAGAGAGATATATGACTCTCCATCCTCTCTCTTGCTGCCTACACACAATATATAAGAGTAGGACTGTATTTTGAGATATTATGCAATTGCCTCTAGATGCACTATGCAAACATACACAAATCAGGACAAAAATATTTTAAAATTAAAATAAATTATAGTAAATGTTTTATTTTTTTAGTATTTGATGTGAGGGGTTTTCGGTTTCAAGATAGCAGTACCCTACTCCCAAAAGGAGTACTTCCAGGGCAAGGGGGGGGACTTCTGATGGCAAAAGTCAGGGGCTAGAGGTGGGCTATGATGAGCAGGGGGCGGGGCACCCATCAAGGGGCAGGGCTTTCCTTGCAGCCCTCAGCAGCTCACCAAAACGTGTTGAGTGGCCCTCCACCTGAAGTAATTGGCCATCCCTGGATTAGACTGATCTCTTGAGGTCCTTTCTAGCTTATCCCCTGGCCTCTTGTATTTTCTGGAAATGAATTGTGAAACATGTGAATTGAAACCCTGAGCTAGAATTTTACTTGCTGTAGAGACCCACGTACCACACACACCTTTCCCCACCAAAAATCAGCCCTCCCCAAATGATGTGCGTGTCTTGTTTTGTGGGGGGGTGTACAGTGTGAGACAGCAGTGTGTGCTTTTATTGCAAAGCTTAATTTGCATCTGGTCACAACATGAAAAAGTATTAAGAATGTGCAGGAAGCTCTTGCTTAACACTTGCTCATGGAAAATGCGGTGAGAGAAATTGTTCATTGAGTCCTGGTTGTTCCTTTCTGCTAGATTCTGGCGCTTCAGTCTACTTCTATGAATTCCAGCATCGACCCAGTATATTTAAAGATACTAAACCACATTTTGTAAAGGCAGACCATGGAGATGAAATTGGCTTTGTCTTTGGAAATCTGTTCATTTCAGGCAACTCAGTCTTAATTGGTAAGAACTTATTCATTGAACTTCTTTTTTTATCATAAAGCTCATGTATTTCATATTGTGCATTCATACTGCTTGTTACAAGTCTTGTCTTCCAGCAGGGAGTTCTCAGAGCACGTATGGCCTAACACCTTGCATTGAGACTGCTCAATATATTGCCCAGGCTACTGGGTTATAGCATGCAGTAAGTCTGTGAAGCACTTCAGCCCCTGCTGGCACCAATGTACCGGCCAAGTCGATTTTGTTTGGATCCCTCAGCTTTACCTTGACACTGGCCTTATATAGCCACTCCTGCATCTACACACCCTGTCATGTTCCTCATGATATTTTTCTGCCCAGGGGCACTTTTACAGTACGAAACTACTTTTCCCAGTTATTGTAAGCAGCACCTGCACACGCTATCCCAGCCTGCTGGTCATTTTTCATTAGCTGACTTTCTGAGGGCAACTTATCCTGGTGTGACAAGGAAACCTACTGGCAAGGTTCCCTCTAAGCTGCATGCATGCCTGGCTGCACACAATAAAAAAATCTTGCTGCACAGTAACTTTTTTAATGCTGTGCACCTGCCCGGAGAAGAGCTGGGCTGCGGCTCCCTGTAAACTTTGTGCACAGAGGATAGCGAAGGCACTGGAGCTGGTGTGGGACACTTACTGCCAGTAAGCTACCGCTCGGCTGCGTAGGGCCCTCTGCTCCTCGCTCCTCACTGCGCCAGCATTCCCGTGGGGAGGGAGCGGCACAGGGCAGGCAGCACTTCCTCCCCAAGGTGGGCGCAGGGATGAGGGCTGGGGCAAAGCCAAGCACCGTGCCAGCTCTGCTGGCTCCAGGGAACTGCTCCATTCCCCAACCACTTCAAGTGAGCTTTGCTCTGACGCCACGTGCCTCCCTGGCCCGGGGTGGTTGGAGGAATGGAGAACCTACCTTGTGAAAGGAGATTGGTGGGTCGTAGCCCCAGGCTTCAGGGCTTTTGTTGGTCACCTGAAGGAGCAAGGAAGAGCTTGCCCCTCTCACCTTTAAGCCGTGGACACTGGCCACAGCCAGAAGTGGGAGATGGGCTGGGAGAGAGGGTGTTGGCGCCCCCGGAGGTATTGAAAGACCTCCCAGGTGTAAGGACTGTGGGATTTTGCCTGGTTCTAGCATTGGGGCATGGTCAGCTGTCTAGGTCTGTTTGAACACATCTTGCCCAAGAAATGCCCTGCCACTGCCATGGCAAAGGTCTCAGTGCTCCTGTTGTGTGTCCAGCTCCCATCCTGTGGCCCACAGTGGGGTTTTGGGGCAGGGGCTGCCCTGGATCTACAGTGTACAAAAGGGGCTGGAGTGGATGCTGTGGACCCCTTTGCACAGTTGTCTGCCAGCATGTGCAGGGGCCCTGCCTGAGACTTCCCAGCAGGTCCCTTCTAGTCTTATGCTCCTGAATGCAGGCATTCCCCGGGTGTGTGCCAAAAGGGGAAGGCAGGACCAATTTGGGAACAGACGGAAGCAGCATGCCCACGGATCACTGCACCTTAGAGGGAACATTACCTAGCGGCTGCAGCCTATTCAGAGCCCTGTACCACCTTCTTGCTTGCTGTCTAGCCAGCCAGAGGGCCAAGCTGATGTTAGCATTCCCTCAGCAGCTTTCCCCTTTTTCCTCACTAACCTAATCTCTAATACCAGCCCTTGCACTTTTACAGGACAAGCACTTCATATAAACAGTAACAATTATTAGCACAGTTTATAGTGCAGTTTGGACAGAAGCCCGTATATTATAGGATGTAAAACTAAGTTTAGTGTTACTGTGGCCATTGGTGACCAATGCAAAAACACTTCCCACTAACATTATTGAGTATCTGGCAAAGGTCACTTGCTATCTGGATGATTTGCTTGTCTTCATATTTTGTCTCGTCTGGCCTGAACCTTCAGATGATAGACTGAGTATATCCTTATGAGATGTTGGATTTTTTTTAAGCTTCTGAATTAATCCTTGCATTCAAAGATGTTGCAGTTGAAGTAGGTAATTTGCTGTGCCTGAAGACATGCTTATAGTACCACACCTTCATTATTTGAAATGTCCTGTACACAAGACACAGATTTAGCTTGGGCAGAGCAGGTTTTCTTATTGGTACAGGGATAAGGTTGTAGCTGTGTTGGTCTAAAAGTAAAAGCAGTCAGCGTGGTAGATATAATAACTTGTATTAGACCAACTAGACAGTTGCAAAAAATGTTCTTTACTTCCAGACTTTTGTGCTCACGCGCTCTTTCTCAGGCAAAGGAGCATGCAAAGATTGTTAAATTTCTCTCAGGTAGAAATAAATTCATATTGCACAGGAGAGCTGGACGGTGGTATAAGTTCTCCTGGCTAGAAACGTCTATTGTATGCAAATTAGGCTTGGATAAAAGTTGGAGCAGTCTATTTACCTCAAAGGTATCTGATGGCAAACGGCGTGTTTGAATAATTCAACATCCTCCAGCTCTCCTGTGCAATATGAATTTTAATTTCTACCTGGGAGAAGTGTAACAATCTTTGCACTCTCCTTTGCCTGAGGAAGGGCACATGAGCCTGAAAACTTGCAAGTAAAGGACATTTTTTTGCAACTGCAGCTGTCTAGTTGATCTAATAAAAGATTATCACCTCTACCACACTGACTACATTGGTACAGGAGTGTCAAATTCATCTAGCCCTGCAGACCAGATGAGGGACACTGACCCAGTCTGTGGACCAGAACAGGACCATACACCAAAGCCATGGTGCAGGGCTCGTCTGGTGGAGCACCCTATGCTAGCCTCTGCGTTGTATGCAGCATGTGCACACCCAGTCCAGCTCCATGTGCCAGATCCACTCTGGGGCTTCTGTGTGCAGAGCATGGGTTGGGTCCAGTGCTGAGAGCACTCATGCAGCACAGAGGATCTGGAGCACAGGCTGCATGTGGCAGCCCACTGGACCAGCCTTATGCAGTGGCTCCGGGGCCATTCCAGATAGGGCCATGCCAGTGCACAGGGCCAGTCTAGATCAGGCACTGTATGCAGAGCATAGAGCTGGACTGGCCATGAGCACTGCATGCGCCTCCCAAACCAACCCCCTGTGCTTCATACAGTGCCCGCAGCACTGGGTCCAGCCTATGACCCAGACAAGCTTTGCATATTGTACACAGGGTAGGTCCAAGACCCATGGGGCTGATCCAGTCTGTGGAGCCATATGTTCAGCACTCCTGAATTAGCATATACAGCAACTCCATTAAATGGGGTTTGGACGAGGGCTTGATCAAGTTGGCTAAACCCTGAGAGTCTTATACAGTGATCTGTCTTGTTAAGAATTTGTCCCTGTATGCCATTCTACTCCCATTACACCAGCACCCCATGTACTTGAGCCTGGAGATTTCTGGTTAGTGGTGCCTACTGGAACCTGAGTGTCCTCAAGCTTCCATACCAGGGCCCCATCACTTCCACAGTTTCCATTTATTTCAGATATCTTACAAGACGGCCATCTCTGAGTGGTCCATGATTTTACACAACGTGGTCCCACCATAGAAGCATCAAAGCTGCATGTTTTGTTTTGGGGTCTTTTAGCAGAGCTCTATTACAATCCCCTTTGAGCTAAACTGAAAACATCTTTCCGCCTAAATCAGATCTCTGTTTGTGGCACTCCAATGATGGGATATGTTTAATAACACGCAACTAAAAAAAAAAAAGTTACCCTCTGTACAGTAGGTAGAGTTCTTTGGGGTGCAATGTCTTGTGTATTCCAGGGGCCACCATCCTCTTCCCCCAGGGTTTTGTGACATTTTGAATTCTGCAGTGGAAAAGAGATTGAGTAGCATTTGGACCTTTTCTTCAGTTGTGATTGATGCAAGACCAGTACGGAGCAATGGATGCTACTGTTCTGATCACCAGAGCATGGCAGTACCCAGGGTGAAGTACATAGATAGAAACCATCACATGACAAAATGCTTCTTGTCCTGTAGAGGGAGTAACTTGTATTTCTTAAGTGCTTGTCATGAATACATGAATACATATTTCAGTCTCCGTGACTTGCAAGCAGGGATGTGAGAATTGAGTTCTGTTGCAGTCTGTTTCTTGATAAGTTTTATTTGCCCATGCTATCGGAGTCTGCATTTCATTTGTAATAGTTTGATTACTGGCTACACTAAAGTTTGTAACCTCTTTCAGGTAATGGTACAGAGGAAGAGAAACAGCTTAGCCGAAAAATGATGAAATATTGGGCTAACTTTGCACGGAATGGGTAAGATGCATGATGCAGTAAAATTATGTTGTAGTGTCTGCATTTGTCAGCTCTCAATAGTTTAAATGGGAATTTTATTCTTCATTATGGTTTTCTCCAGAAATCCTAATGGCGACGATTTGATGGAATGGCCTGTCTTTGACCTGAAGGAGCAATACCTGGAATTTAATCTAAAGCAAGGGAAAGGACAGAAACTAAAAGAGAAGAGAAGAGAATTCTGGACAAAAACCTTAGCTGAGAAACTAAAAACAATCAAGGACAAGGAAAAACGCACAGAGCTATAACTGGTAACATTTTATAATAGTTCTTTCAGTTTGTCTAAGCAAAATGCTGATCTGATAATTGTGGTTCAAATTTTTACACCTTGAATAGGATCTTAAAGGTTTCCTTAAAGTTGATCTTAATGATAAGATGGGAAGTGGTGCCAAACCCAAATGTCCACCCATTTGGTTCAGATGTTTACTCCTTTGAAGATAAAAACTGTCTTTCCTTGTGGATTAGTAGTAGAGTTAGTGGTGCTGTAGCTATGATGAACAAAGTAATATGTGAGAACCAAGGGGTTTTGATGATAACTTTTATTGGACTAACTTCAAAAGCCACTGACCAATAAACACCAAATGGCACTTAACCATACCCAAATAACAAGTGCAAAACTTATCAACACCTCTCCACTACCAGTACAAGCAACACCACGCTGCAGCAAAACCCTCAGAGTCCACAGGTCCTACACATGCCTATCACAGAAAACGGTGCATCTCATCCGGTGCATCTGATGCCCCCATGGAGGTTATGTGGGTGAAACTAAACTACTACAGCACTCCCAAATTAATTCAAAAGGGAAAAAATATCCAGTCAGCAAAGGAAAACACTTTTCATTATTGTCGTACTGAATTAAATCTGCAGAAGACCTCCAGAACATGGACCTGGAAACAAAAATTCCTAAATTTACTGGACACTAAAAACCACAGGCAATGGCTCATGATAATTTGCCTGCTCTTTAATTTCTCTATACTCTCTGGATAGAAGTGAGCCTCTTTATTTTTGAATGTTCCTATTCTTTCACATAATTAGGTTATCTAGTTCAACTGCCCTTTTACTCGTCTGTAGCAGTTTCTGATAACTTCTTTGCTCCCCATTTTTACAGCCCTCTTCTGCTGCTTTAAACTGCTTTCGTTTACCTACTGGAGCTAAACAGAAATCAGCGTTTTATCTGGAATTTAGCTTCGGCACTGTGCTTCATTTCCAGACCTGAAGAAGAGCACTTTGTGCCGAGAACTTATTTACTAAGCTACTCCCAGCTATTCAGTTTGTCCTCTAAAATATATCGCCAAAAAGCACACCCTTGCGTCTCAAATTAGCACTGCTTCTCGGGATTGTTAATGTTCTGACTGAACTTGCACCTGTGCTGCACTTGGGTCTCTCTCTGATGCGAGGGTCGCGTTCCAAAAAAGCCTCGCATAAAGCAAATCCATTCTTACGTGTAATTAATAGGGATGTGTACTAGCCACCTTTTTTTGCTTCTCGGCTGGCTCAGGAGGAGGGTTAGGAGATACACTAGAAGGTCACTTAGACGACATTTCACTAAATTCAATAATAAAAGCGAATAGACGCTCCACAATATGAGTGCAAATAGCGTAGCACCACACAGAGCAATGGTCGATGTGAGACTGAGGCAAGTGCACGATGGCGTCGCATACCCTCCTCACTTGCCTTCCCACAATGCATCACTCGCATCACGGCATAGCCACGTTGCATGCTTCTTCGCATAAGATCAGTTTTTTTTCTCACACAAAGCGAGTTTCTGGTATAGATAAGGTCATCGCATATAAGCAAAATAGCACGCAACGAATAGAGACACGAGTGTATTTTTAATACAACTTTTTATGATTAATTTTATGCGTTTTTTGTAGTTGGTCTACAAAGATGCATAACTAAGGAGCTACAAAAATTGCTATTGTGCAGTTTTTGGGGGGCGGGGGCAGGCTCTGCAAAAAAGCATGGGCTCCGGGGGGAAAAAAATTACCAAAAACTCAATGCTGGCTCTATCTGGGGAGCCTCATGGCAACCCAGCTGGAAGGAGCAAGGACAAGATGGCTGCTGCCTCCACCCCTTGCCACTGATTGGCTGTGAGGGTTTTCTGTCATGCAGCCCTGCTCCCTCCACCAATCGGTGGCAAGAGGCAGGGCCACATGATGGACAGCCTTCGTAGTGAATCAGTAGTGAGGGGTGGGGCCATATGATGAGCAGCCAGTCAGCAGCGAGGGGGCAGGGGCACATGACGGATAGCCCTCACAGCCAATCAGTGGCATGGGGTGGGGTCACCAAAGATATGCGGGGGCCCACCACACTTGCCTTATGAAAATGGCTGCTGGCCCTGATATCTGCCTGCAAAATTGGCCAGCCACCACCTTGAGCTCAGTAGACCCCTGTGCATAACTCCCCTGCCCTCTGCCTGTAAATGCCAGGAGAGAAAAGTAAAAAGGCCACCACACACGCGGTCAACACCCACGGTCACGTCCGTGGCAGCAGGCGGTGTAGAGCATCCAAGAACTGACGCACGTCTCTGCCAACTTCATCTTGCATTCGGAGAAGCCTGGCTCATCTCTCTAGGTTTCCTGGCTTTGTAATTTGTATCACTTCACAAATGGGTGTAACTGCTTCTGGTAGTTGAAATTAACTTTGTATCCAAATAAATCAACCTGTACCTAGTGGAAATTAACTTTGTATCCAAATAAATCAACTGTCCCTAGTGGAAATTAACTTTGTATCCAAATAAACCAAATGCCTCCCTGACTTACAGTGCTGAATGTGTCTATCTTAATTCTTCACATAAACTCTGAAACTCCTAACAATAAATTGACTTCAGGTGTCTGTCTTGGGTGAGGCACTGCAAGAGTGAAGGAAGAGATATCTGTTTTTGAGGACTTAAGATGAGGGATTGACTTAAACTATTAACTTCAGTGGTATGGTTGTGTCCTTTAAAAGAAAGACGAGACAAGTTAAGCCAGTTGTATACAATATTACAATAAGAAATTTCTCAATATGTGGTGGAGAAGCTGTTGTTGAAATGAAAGCCGAAGCTTCCGCGATCCAGTATTTCACTGAAACCAAGCAAACTTCAACATACTGTAGAAACATAAACCAGCAGTCTACAAGAAGTTAGGTAGCAGGGTATTGTATCCAAGCAGCCACTTTTACAGTTTTTTCTTTATGAAAAAAATGAAAAAATATTGTTTACATGTAAAGCATGTTTTTAAAGGGGTGACTGTTAGGGTTAAAGTAATAACCTGCTTAGTATTATAAAGGAATGGTACATGATCAAAGTGTTCCTTCAGGTGATTTTGGTAGGAGTACTGGATTGCATTCTGCCACAAATTTGATCTGGCAAAAAATTCATAAGCTCTTTCTCAGATGCCATTGCAATATGTGCAGCAAAGTTTGGAAAGGCCCAAACTTGTTTTGCTGTACTCAACATAGGATACCTACAGGTGCAGATGTGATGCCTTCGAAATGGAGTTGCTGGCACGTGGGTCACTTTAAGTCATGTGACTGCATGGTACAGCTGAGGCAGTGGGAAGCTGATAAAATCAAAGCTACACATGCAGAGGAAGGAAAATGGTGTGTGGCGGCAGTAGTATAGTACTTTGAGCACAGACCCAGGAATCACTGTTTTGATTGCTCAGTGTTTTTTGTACCTGAAAAGCCTGCAGTGATTAGTGACAAGATATTACATCTTGTGCAAGCTGCTCGTAATAGAGGCAAAAATGCAACTGAGGATTTGTTCCATTACTATTTGAGCAGCGTCAAAAGTTGGACATCCTCTTCTTCAGTTAACCTGTCTGTTGCAGGTGTTGGCTTCCGTAGGGAAAAACTCAATAAGAACAGCCTCCATGCCCGTGGCTTGTTTAGAAAATCAAAATTGGGATGCATTACTATATTGTAAAATAGCTGTGTTTGCATACGCTCTGTTTATTTTTAATACTTTTCAATCCTTTTGGCTGAGGATAAAAAGTAGGAGGTATTACTTTCTGAATGACCTTTGTAATATTGCTAAGGGGTAACTCAGGTTCTCATGTACCAAACCTATAGAAGGACCAATCACACACAGAGAAACAAAACATTAACATGTTTCTCAGAGGTTAAAGCATTTCTTATCTAGATTTGTTTTACCATCTTGTAAAACTGCACCATGTTACATTTTGCACAAATAATTTCTTCTTATCATTGTCATTTACTCTTCCTCGGAAAACTACGTAAACAAGAGCACTGAGATTTTATTTGCTTGCTGATACCTCAGTGTGTAGGTCCTTGTAAGCTGTGACTACTACACATGATTAGTTAATAATGTCAACATTTTTAATTTAACGTCTACAGTAAAGATGTGGTTCTAAAACTAAAATCACCATAACTTGGTGCGACTGAATGGGGCACCAGTCACTAACTTAGGAGGGTGCCAACAGAATTGCCCCCACCCCTGAGGAGTCCATGAACCAGCAGGGGAAGCAGCCTAGTGCCTCTACTTAGTTGGTGTCCGGGGTCTGGTGCCCAACTCGCTCACACCAAGTTCTGCTACTGGTAATTGTCTTTAGTTTGAAAAAAGCATCTTTATTGCAGACATTTAAATTAAAAATGAAGACATTGTTACCTAATTTTAATCGCTACTGCTTTTGCGGCAGTAACCTGATGCACGGATGCGACACCTGAAAGCTGGGGTGCACAGACTGAACTGCAACTGTGGCAGCAACGAGCAGCGGCTGGGGAGAGTCTTTGAATCCCTGGTGTAGGTAAGACTCCCGTGCCTCCTAGAAGACTATTAGTTTCCTGCTGGAGGTTGATTAAAGCCAAGGCAAGGGATTTAATACCTGTAATATCTGGGGTCAGACTCAATGATCTACTGAGGTCCCTTCCAACCCAAATGTATACGAATCTATGAAACTCTGTCCCAGGTAGAGTAGCAAGGCAGAGAAGCCAGGAACAGCACAAAGTGGAGTTGACTGTTGTGGACCACTGGGCCTTTGTTTGGGAGGAAGCTAAAAGATTCCTCAAGGGAGTGGGAAGAGGAAAATGAGCCCATCTGGAGAAGAACATCTATCCTGCAGGGGTGGACTGAATAAAGCCCACCTCGTGGGGAACTGAGCCTTGATGGATCTGGCCCTCTGAGGGCCAGGTTGTGACTCTTAGGCTTAGCCCTAAGGATGTGGTAGTGCTAGTTAACCCCTATGGGAGAAAGTATCACAGAGTTCCCTGGAGTGCAGGGGAAAGTTGTCTGCCACACCAGACAACTAGAGGCTGGACTCCTCACCCTCCCTCCCTCCCACCTGCTGGGCACCTATTTCTGCTCACCAGCTGAAGAGTGAACAGGGCTTTAGCCCTCCCTGCTCCTGTTCGGGTAGCTTGCCCCCTCCCCAGGTACTGGAAGAAAGCAGCTCGTTCTTTTGAGGATGCTGTGGCAGCTCCTCCACAAACCCTTTCCAGCTTGGTGCACAGAAACAGAAAGTGGCTATAATCTGCCCCCCACATTTCGTGCCATCCCCGCCAACCCCTCCCTGCCCCAGCATTTTTTATCTTGGACAAACAGCCTAAACTTTGAAAATGCTGCTGTTTAGCTTTATCTCGGGGTGGGGACAAATTGTGGGGGTTGGATCCCTGGAGAGCCCAACAAACTCCCCTGGGTGCAATGTTGCTTTTCAGTGGGACTGAATAACACGTTTGTCTGGTTTTGGTTAGTTGTTAAGGAAGCAGCCAGCTGCTGTGATTTCAGCCAGTAGGTGGTAGAAGTCAAGGGGAGTTTGGGTAATACCCAGTCTGTGGGATTAAAAGCAGCTAGAAACTATGATTGTGTACTCTTGTTCCTAGTTGATTTTGTCTGACCTGTGCCAGATTCAGGTTAATAATTATTTTCCTTTGCAAGATGCCACAGCAGTCTGCGTTCAGTCGTGGTCTTGACAGTTAATCCAGAATATGTTTGAGACCTGAATTGCAGCCCCTCAGGCAAAGCTGATTCACGGTGGAAACTTTGTACCTGATCTTCCAGCACATAAAACAAGCTAACCTGTAATCCCAGCATAAGAATGGCATCTGCTTGTGAGATTTCATTGCTTTTTGCACTGATTTGTGGTACGGGGCTCACTGCTTCTGGGGCTGCAGGTAAGAAGGGAGACTGCTTATTATTGTGTTGGTTGCATTGTAAATGCAGGGTCAGTTTTTCCGAAGTTTGTCCTAGTATCTCTGAATGTGTGAGCACAGCATAGAGCTGCCTGCATAGAAGCATTTGCCTGAGCACACGGGAGAGCACGGCCATGACTATAACGCACCCTTTGTGCCGCTCTTTGAGAGGACAATCCTGGCACCCTCAAGGGCAGCCTAGCAGCTCTCAGCAGAACTGCTTGGATAAAGGATATTTTTCCCTGGAAAAGGCTGATTTGTTGAAACCAAAATTGTTTGTGAGAAAGGGTCAGGCTAAGTGACTTTTCATGCAGAATTGTAGTCAGGTTTGGGGGGAGGAGGGGGGTTGATTGTTTGTTTTTAAGAATAAAGTCAAATTTCCTAAAAGATCAAACCAAAGCATGCGAAAATTATTGAAATGAGGTAGTGTGATCAACCTCTTCTACACATCCGTGTGCTTGACTAAAGCATTTTCAAGATTTTGATTTTTTGGTTCCAAACGGAAGGAAGGAAACTTTGAGAAATCTGATTCCTGCCCAATCTGTCGTCACCACGTGTGTGTGTTCATTGTATTTCCTTGCATGTTACACAGGACAGGAAGGTGCCCGGCCAGAAGTGGTTGTGTCCCAGGGGCGACTCCAGGGGACACAAGCTCGCGTGAAGGGAACAGACAGACTCGTGAATGTTTTCCTTGGCATCCCTTTTGCAAAGCCACCTGTCGGGTCCCTGAGGTTTGCCCCTCCAGAGCCACCTGAACCATGGACCGATGTCAGAGATGCAACTTCCTACCCACCCTTGTGAGAGCCGTACCATTCCCATTGCTGTTTGTCACTGTTTGTGCACGATCTTGGGCCCAGGGAGTGACCCTGAGGAGCAGCCAGGATTGGCTGGCACTGGGCTGACAATACTAAAGTGCTTCATAAGCCTTTCATAAGTCTGTTAGATAATGTAAGAGAAGCTGTTTAAAATCCTTTCCTTTGTGCACCAGAGTATCTTGTTGCCTGTTGAAATTCCTCGGCGTGCAGGACAATCATTATAAACAGGGTGGCCACCATCCTGATTTAGCCAGGACAGTCCTGGACTTCCCAGGCAGGTCCCACCAGGCCAGAGAAGAGCATCCCAGGGGCAGGGAGGCAGAGCAGCACAGCTGTGAAATTGCCCTAAAATAAGTGAGCTTGATTAGTGGAATGACCATTAAAAAGAGGAGATGATTGTTAGCACCTGTGAGGTAAAGAATAATGGGTCATTAGTGGGCTATGGACTCCCTTAGCTGCCTGACTAGTTATATCAGAGCTGCACCACACCATCCTGCCCCCACCTCTGACTGCAGCAGCACTGACTTGGAGGGCGTGGGAGTGGGGAAGCGTCTTGGATTTCACATTGTCCTGTACGGTCACCCTAATTATCAAGCAGCACTTCTACCTTCCAGCTCCTTAGTCCTATATACAGACACAAGCAAGAGGACCCAGAGCTGGGACATTTTCCAAGCTTAGCTATGATTTCTCCTTGCGAGTAAGGAGGTGCAGGTGCAGCTCTCATCCATGCTGCCTTCTCTTTGGCCTCCATGTTCTTTATGCATTTGTTTAAAGTTTCAATATGGGCCAAATATATGTAACTGTTTAGCATTGAACCAGGAAAGAACGACTGGGAGAATCTGCCAGTGAAATGAGCAGCGGCAGTTTTGTGACTACAACCAGTGCAAATGACCCTCCTTTTGGATGGGGTGCACTGGAGCCTGCTTGGCCTCTAAGTAAGATTAGCCAAATTTGAAATGCATATCACAAGATACTGCTGGTCACTCTGTCTTTTGCTCCCATTCTTTACCTCTGATCTGCTGCTGCTCTTCCAGGAATTCAAAGTCACTCTAAAACCATCTGTGCTCAAAATTTGTTCCCAGAGTGTGATATTTGCTGCCTACCATCGGTCTAATAACAGCTTTAGCTTCTGGTGGTGCATAGAGCACAGCGAGGGACTGTAGGGGCCGGGCTTCAGTCCTTCATACTGCCACCCGCACCAGCCTTTCTGGTCAGCACTGTGTTAGCCTAAAACTGTGGTGCTCATCCCCTGGCCTGCAGGCCAAATCTGGCCCATGGAGCCCTGCCATCTGGCTCACAGGGGTTCCCACGGGTCCAAAAACTGGGCAGTGGGAGAGTGGTGGTAGCAATTGCCGCTTCCCTGCTGCCAAATATTTGGACCCACAAGTCAGTAAGCACACTAGATAGGCAGGCATGGGGGCTGGCTGGATTTGGGGCAGGGCCCGATCCTTCAGCGCAGGGCTGAGTGGAGGGAGCATGGGGCAGAGGGGGTGTATGGGGCCCCAATGCAGCAGTGTGAGGCTGAGGGGAGCTGCATGGGCCTGATCCTGGGACACAGACCCCATCAGCCTGCAGAATGGCCCCATGGCACCAAGAGTTTGAGCACCACTGTCCTAAAACCATCTTGTCCCTGAGAGCGTAGCAATCATTTGAGGCAGTTACAGAGTAGGGGTTAAGATCTTTGTTCCTGCTGTGCAAAATGTTCTGGGCTTTCAGGTTGTGGGCCCTGAGGGTGGGGGTCTGTTCACTTTCCATTACTGCTGCTGCTCCAGCTGTGGGCTGTTGGGCTCACCCTTTCTGTTCTCTTGTGAAGCTGTCCCCAGGACCTGACCTTTCTGAGAAGAATTCAGCAAACGCGGAAAGAAAAGCACGCTCCTCTCATAACTTCTGAAGACTGTTTGTTTCTAAATATTTATACTCCCGCCAATTCAGACGAGAAGACCAAGTTACCTGTAAGCCAATTAACTGTACAAACTTTATAAACTCATTGCAACTGCAATACATGATGACGCTCTTGACAGTCCAAACTTAGTTCTGGACATTTAGGTCACTTAATTGCTTTTGAAATTTTTACCTGGCATCACTAGAATTAACATCCCATCTCTTATGACAAGTTTTGATTTCCATTATTTTTCACTGAGGCTGGGGGCCAGATCTGCCAAGGTATTCAGTCAACAGCAGGTCCAGATAGGTGGATTTGGCAACTCACTTCCCAGGCCTGATGCTTAGCCTGTTTGTGCGTATCTGAGAATCAGTTCACACACCTAAGTTCAGATGCCCGACCATCCCTATGAATCGAATTCTGAGGTTCCTATCTGCCCAAATCAGTTTTGAAGCTGGGGCTTAGAATGCCAGCATTATCTAGGCATTTTTTACCATTACCTGTGGAGAATTTCCAGTTTGGCTTTTTTGAGCTAGATGAGTGACTATTTTAAGTTTTACTTTTTCCTGAAAAATCACAATAAACAAAATATTAACCTGGACGAAAAAATGTTATTTTGATCATTAAGAAATGTGAAAGAGGATTTTTGGAGGAGCGCAAAGAAGTTAAGGCCTCACTTCCTGTGGGTAACTTTAGAATTTGGGTGCTGCTCCTAGGTTCTTTTAAATATTTCTACAGGTCTTCCCTTTTCAATAATTGGCAAGAGCATGAGTCTTAGACGGTGCTTTTTAGACTAAAGACTGCCTGTGATTACAGCTTTGATAGTCCTTAGTACTTTTCAGATGAACAAAACAGAAATATAATAATGCTTGTTCATCACCAAAGATGATGCTACCTGCACAGTATTTTCTTTCCCAAATGAAATTGTTCATGCCGTACACAGAGGCTTTTTTCATCTTGTTCTCTCCAAGGTGATGGTGTGGATCCATGGAGGCAATTTTGTATTTGGTGGGGCGTCCAGGTTTGATGGGTCAGCACTATCAGCCTATGAGGACGTGGTGGTGGTGATTATTCAGTACAGATTAGGTCTGCTTGGATTCTTTAGGTAAGATGCTCTATTTTAGCCTTTCAAGAATATTTCCTATCACACTGGAAACAGTGAGAGGATTAGATTACCAAACCTCCAGGGCCAGCTCCTCTGATTAATATAAATCACCCTAAATGCATTTAACTCAAAGATTTATTGTTTTATTGGGCTATGCTGGTTTACTCCAGTTGAGGGTTGGGTCTTAAATTCTAGTCTGTCTGGCCCCAGTTGATGGCAACTCCCTAATTGGGATGGAGGGTGAGGCTATGTAGAGGATTCCCTTTGTAGCTATTCCAATCATGCCCCCCACCCCTCCCATAAAGCAGGGTTCAGGCAGTATAAAAGGCCAAGGATCTCTGTAGGATGGTGAACAGCATCTTCACAGCGGAGGGCACGAAGTCAGTACTGCTTTAGTCCTAATGGCATGGGCAGCACTATGGAAAACTTCAGCACGACTTTTGGTTTTTATTCTCAAGTCTGCCACTACCCGGGTATAGCATTTTGTCCACATCACTTGAAAGGATACTGCCATGTAACTGGTACATTTTAAACTGATGCTGGAGTCAGGGGTTCCTTTTGTGCAATCTTGGGGGGGTGTTGTTTGTTTGTCTGTTTGTTTTTAGATCAAATGTCTTTTTCCCTAAACAAAGCAGGAGTCAAGCATGAGAGAACAACTCATGTGCCTGCAGTTCCCAGCCTCTTTCACCAGCACTCAGTTCAAAAGCTCTGACCTTTATCTTTTTTAGCAGGACCATATGAGCAGTTCTGCTGGGATGTCAGCTGGGTCCCTGCA